AACAAGTCCTTATTAAACCAGGAATTTGGAGGAAAAAAAAAAAAAAAAAAAGTAAAGAAAATTCACAAATCCAAAGATAAACAGAAAATCTTGACGCCAGCAAAAAGAAGAAAATTAAAAAAGATAAAAACAGAAATCAATAAAATAGAAAACTAATAAAGCTAAAAGCTGTTTCACTGAAAAGATTAACACAGTTGCTAAACTAGCTGGACTGATCAAGAAAAAAACAGAACACAAATAACAACATCAAAAATGAAAAAGAGGTTATCCTCATAGGTCCTAAAGACATCAAAAAGATAGTTAAGTGAGCTCAGCACGGTGGTGGATGCCTGTAGTTCCAGCCCTTCAAAGGTTTAGGCAGAAGGATCCCTTGAGCCCAGGAGTTTAAGGCTGTAGCATGCTATAATTGTGCCAATGAATAGCCACTGCACTCCAGCCTGGGCAACATAGTGGGACACCATCTTTAAACAAAGCAATCAACCAAGCACAAAAGGATTTTAAGTATTATGTAGATTATTCTGACAAATGAAATAACTAAGGTGAGTAGACAAACACCTTCAACATCACAAAGTATCAAAGCTCATTTAAGAAGAATAGATAACACAAATAGCCTTTTGTCTATTAAATGAATTAATATGTAGTTATAAGCCTTTCTGCAGAGAAAACTACAGGCCCAGATGGCTTCATTGGTGAATTCTACTAAACACTTAAGGAAAAAAATAATACAAATTCTACATAAACTCTTGTAGGAAACAGAAGAGGAAGAAACATTCAAATCCATGTAGTGAGGCCAGTATTAAATTGCTACCAAAACCACATAAAGACATAGAAAATTTTATAACAATATTCCTTATGAATATAGATGTAAACATCCTTAACAAAAATTAAGTGAATCAGTATCCAGGAATACATAAAAGGATACATTAAGTATCCAGGAGTACATAAAAAGGGTAATACATCATGTCTAAGGTTTGTTTGATATTTGGAAATAAATTACTATAATATACTTCATTAGCAGAATAAAAGAGTACAGCCATATGATTACTTCAATAGATGTAGAAAAAGTTGTTTAATGAAACTCAACATTATTTATAATAAATAAATAGAAAACTAAGAGTAGAAGGGAACTTGTTTAGTCTGACAAAGGCCAGCTATTAAAAACCTACAGCTAACATTATTACATCATTAACCTATACTTAATACTAGACTTAAAATAGTAAAATACCAAATGCTTTCCTCCAAGTCAGAAACGAGTGAATGAGGTCCATTCTCACCAGTTCTATTCAACACTGTACAACAGATGCTGGACAGTGAAACGAGGCACAGAAAAACAGGTATAAAGATCAGAAGGTAAGAAAGAAAAATCTCTACTTGCATAAGATATGAAGGTTTACACAGAAAACTTTATTGCTGGGTAAGGTTTCCCACTTAGGGAAAATATGAAATAGGAAGAGAAGAGAGCATCTTGGGGAATGCCTTCATTTCAAGGATGGATAGAAACTAACAACTAACAAGGAAACTGAGAAAGATTGTATTTCATATGCTCTTTACAAAGCAAGGAAATATGTTATACATTTAAAATAGTTAAAATATGTTATACATTTAAAATAGTTACCTAAAATAGTTAAAATTACAAAAATATTGGAGCCTCAGCAATCTGGAATATTCCTTTATATAGAGCATCAAACCCACACGAAAAGGGAGAAAGAAGCCTTGCCATATATAAATTTGGCAATGTAATCACTATCTTCACAAGACAAATCTCAGTAAAAAATGGATCAGATTTACTGGGCCAAGGTGTTTGAATGATACTTATAGCTATGGTGGTTATAATGAAATAACTCTAAATGTATACTCAATATTAATTATGCCATTTGCGACATATTAGACAATGCTTAGAATATGTGATGATGGAGACTCTGCATGTTCTGCACTCCACTCCACCCCTGCTATGCTCCCTCTCCAACTTCACTCCTGCTCCTTTGCTGTCACTCACTCTGCTCAAGCCACTCTGGCCTCCTGGCTGTTCTGTGAATATTACAAGGTTGTCCAATTCAGGTCTCTATTCCTGGAACACTTGCCCCAGATGGCTGCTTGGCTCACTCCTTCAGTTCCTTCAGATTTTTGTTAAAATGTCTCTTGATTAGAGAGGCCTACATAAAATAGCACTTTCCTTCCATTCCCCATTCTCCATCCTTTACTGTTCTCTATTTTTCATCATAGCACTTGTTGCCACTGGGCTCCACACTACAATAAAAGCTCCACATGGGAAAGGACTTTATTTGTGACTTTTCACTGTGTATCACTAATACCTGGCATATGGTAATAAATATTTTTGAATAAATGAAAAAAATACATAATGATGAACCTCAAGCCTACAATAACATTTAATTTTGGATAAAATCTCAGCAAGGCAGAGAAGAAAGGACTGTTATATGTCTATATCTATATTTTTCAGTAAGTTAAAAAGTATGTTTAATATCTTCTCTATCAAATAAAATTAAATAGATTTTTAGTTTGGGCTGCAGGCATTTGTACATCATAACTGTCTACCTTGAATTCAAAGTAATTTAATGAATTTCCTACAATTTTATGAAATTCAACATTCTTTTTTATCCTGTCTGGGGGTTATGTTTACATTTTACTTAATAAGTCATAAGAGTTTTTTATAAGACTTAAATAGCAAAGTCTAAACGTTCACTAGTGTATTAACACGAGCAATTAAGTCTCTAACTGATGAGGCCACTGCAGGAGGGCCTTGTACTTATTGTCAGTCTTCTCTTATCCAGTTCTTAAAGGCAAAATCTGCATGCAAAGTGCAGCACCCAGCTCCACACAGTACTGGTCCTGGTAAGCAAACCTCAGTGACGGCTGCAGCCCAAGATTAGGGCAATTTTCCCTGCACTGACTCCAACTCCCTGCCCAAGTGACTAATATTAAAAGAATAATTTTTGTCTGTTAAAAACAAAGATTCAAAGAAACTACCCTAGACTGAAATATAATCTCTGAGTAATTTCTATTTTTAACTCTCCAAGTGATTTTTATCGTCAAACAAAGTGAAGGCATTCTTCTGTCTTAATCTAGAGAATGGACTTTCTGAAACTATGAGTTGTGTCTGATCATTAGAAGTCAAAAAAATCAATTCAGTGGGTCACTATCATGTTTTAAAAAGTAATCGTTTAGCATAGAAAATATCAGAATGCGTACACAAAATAAGGATAAGTATTATTTTATGAAACTGCTGTATCAACTATAGATAAATGTGTACAGACGTACACTTTATGCAATTACAAATCTATGTATATATTTGTAAATGCTTATGTATTATGTATGAGGGCACAAAGTAAAATGTGCTTATTTTGGGTAGTGATAAAACAATGTTTAATAGTTACTGCTAGAAGAAAAATTTGGAATTACAGAATAGAAGACTATACGGTCCTTGTCTGGAATTAAGAATGTTAAGACTTTAAGGTTTGTCACATTGACCTAATTTTATGATCATCAATATGTATGCCAACCTCACTAAAAGAGATTATTTTATTATGGCAAAATATTTTAAAGCACAATCGGAGAAAAAGGGATACAGAGAAAACATCCAAGTGTCCTTTTAATACATTGGGCAAAAACAGACTGTCTCCTCCTCTTACCCTCAATGAATCAAATACATTCATATATGAATTTAGTGTCCTTACATTTTGGTGCCTGTTAAGTCCTCATTCCCTGTAAATTCTAAAGCATTTGACTTTAAAAGCTCCCTTCCTCTTTAGGATTTGTGAACAGTGTTCTAATTTTCTTCCTCCTTCTGATTGTTCTTTCCTTGTCTCCTCTTTTCTCTAAGTATGTGTTTATCCTTAAGGTTTACTTGTAGACTTTGATCTCACTTTTTCAAACTCTCCCTTAGAGACCTAAATCCAATCTAATAGTTGAAATTTATTACCTTTGTGTAGGTTTATTGTAACATTTTATAGATGCAGAAACTAAGGCAAGAGAGAGCTTATTCACTTGTTTGAGGTCACATAGCTAGATAAATAGCTGAGATGGGTTACAGGTAGTTTGGCTCCAGAGTCCATGCTATATGGCCTTACTTACTCACCAAGTACTAAATAAATATTTAGCAAATAAAGGAATGATGGAGGCAAGCTGTAGCAGACTTAACTATTTAGAGTTAACAAGGTCTGCATTTATCAGCGATATGACCTTGAACAAGATATTATTTCTAAGATGTATAAAAATGGTAATACAAATATATAACTTGAAGGGTTGCAGTAATATTTCAAAATGTGCCTCTCTAGTAGTGTTGTAAAAATGAATAATCTGCTTGTTTTTTAAAGAGATACTGTCAACTACATATGGCTCTGAATCTCATACCATTATTTAATAAAATTTCCTAAATAATAGAAAAGGGGTACATTAACGTTCATATATAAAAAATAAAATATATAAAAATATATTCTGGTTTTATGCCATGTTTAAAGTAGGGTTTATCAACCTTGGCATTACTGACATTTTGGACTAGAAAACTCTGTTATGAGAGAGGGGTGGGCATTGTCCTATGTAGTCCAAGATGTTCAGCAACATCCTTGGCCTCTACTCCCTATATGCCAGTAGCATCTCCACCTTGTCATGTCAATCCAGAACGTCTCCAGATACTGTCAAATGTCACCTAGGGGATTGATTCTGGTGGAGAACCATTGCTTTACTGGGATAATACTGAGTTGTACTGCCATTAGATAAATACATGTAAGACTCTTGCTTCTATGTGTACAATTATCATAAGTAGAACACAATCTGTAGACACCAAAAGGGTCTATTTTTAAATTCTAGAAAATATAAACACATTTGGTATCTATTCTCTTTAGGATAATTATTAACATGCTACTTTTGTAATATATAGAGGATTCTGAATTATTTAGAAAATGTGACATCGCCCGCTCAGTTACACAAATAATACTAAAACCACTCTGATCTATAGAGTCAAAGATTAAATTAAATTATTTTACCTTTAAAGCTGAAATTATAGTTTGCTCAGCTGCCGGTGGGAATGAACTCTGACTGGAAACGACCTAGAACAAGGTTTTGATCCAGTTATAGTTTTGCTTAAGTCTATTTCTACAAATACTAATTTTGATTATAGCATATAATGCTGTTTCCACATACTATCTATATAGTATTACCACTGTTTATCATAATATCTTATACATGATTTTAAAAATCAGAATTAAGATAGGTTGAAAAATAATTTTGTGTATACATCAAATACATATTTCAAATAACATTAATACTACTAAGAGCTATGTTTCCTTTATTCATTTTACACAGGTTTTAATTATGAAGTTTTAACTTGCAAAGGCCAGAATAAAGCCATATTTACTTATTTCTTTAAAGAAAATAACTTGTCTTTAGGCTGACCCTAATTTCCAACAAGTCTTTAAAATAAAAATGTCAGCATTTCAATTTTTATAAAACAATACAAACATCAGCAAATTTTGAAAATATCAATAAAGACATTTAAAGCAGGCTAGATAGAACACAATCTTCCTTTGCTTGTGGTTCTCTGGAATAATGATTAAAGAGAATGGGAAATACATCATTTAGTGTTTTTTAATAATTTTTACCTTTCTGAGATATACCTGTTACTAACTCTTTAGCATGTATTTTGTTTACTGTGTAAAACACACATTTTTAGAAACCCCTAATTGGTAAAAGGACTTGTTAAAATCTTTAAATAAATGAGTAATAGTCACTTAAAATTATTCTAAATCACAATCTAGTAAATTAAAACTCATATGAGAAGTCAAGTTTTCAAGAACATTATTTTAACCATTAGCTTCCTTCAGGTCTTCTAAATTATTATCTCCGTGCTTATAAAATATTTAAAAAATGACCTATAGAGAATAATTAAGCACAAGTTACTCAAAAGTCACAGATGGACTTGAGAGTATTGCTTTCTTAGTAATTAACAATACAGTTCACCTTAGACGTAATATATAGAGGCCAACAAGTTAGAGTTCACCCATTTCTTTTAAATGCGTATTAGAAAAAGGGCAAAAGAATATACATTGTCTATTTGCAAGCAGTCATCAGTGATTATATCATAAAAATTCAGTTTTCAATACAGCTTCTCCCCACCTTTTTAATGCAAAGATATTAATAGAACATTTTTGACATGTTGGAGGACTTCAGGGTCTTATTCTGTCATTAGCTTAGCTATAATTTACTACCATCTACACTATATCAAACACTATATAGGTGTTTCAAAAAGTATGAAAATGTATGTTTGCCTTCCAATAATTTGTTCAATAAACTTAACTAACTTGAGGATCTAAAGTTCATGTGTTTTAAACTGAATGTACAGACTAAAAGTCACACAAACAATGAAGGTCAGAATCAAAGACTGTTTAAAAAGAGTTAACTCCTTAGTTTATTTCATAGTAACCACATTTTTATTGTATTCTTTTCCAAAGTACTAAATATTAATTTGTAAAGTGTCCAAATTTGAGGCAAGAAGAAGAATTTAAAATTAAGTAAAACAAAAAAACAATAAAAATAAAGGTTACCTTTGTTACTGACTGGTGCAACTTATACAGTGAATTCACTACTGCCACATTTCTTCTCTGTCCTTCAGTAAGAGGCCCAATCACCTGACTTGCATCTCCTTGTGTGGAGAGCTGTCAGAAATCAACACCAAAGAAACATGTCAAAAAGGTAATTCACACACACACACACACACACACACACACACACACACACTTCTCTAACAGGGGAGAAGTTCATGCCCCTCTGACAAAGAGAATGGTAACTGGAATATTCAGGTCAAGTTAAGGCTTCGGACTTGAGGTAAAGCCGGCAATCTGTGTAGAGAAAACGCAATTGTTCTTGCACAGGAAAAACATCTCTGTTAATACTTCAAAGCTGATGGACCCTGAGGCAGGTATGACCCAAATGCCCCATGTGTGCTATTATTTTGATATAGTAACATATCGAAATGTTACTATAACATTTCGATATGTAATCCTAAGGAATACCTTCTGGCAACTGCCAATTGGCCTTCTTTCTATTCAAGCACTCAGAAATAAGCCCGCAAAAAAAGGAAGGAGGAAAGGAGAGAACAGAGAGAGGGGAAGGAGGGGAAGGAGGTGGAAAGAGGTTGGTTAGAGAGAGAAATAAAAATAAACCTAAATCCCATGTATATTTGACAGCCATCCTAATACTTCAATGAAATGAATGGTGCAAACAGGGTATTATTCTGGTTTTTTACAGATTAAAAAAAAGCCCACATTTATACTGTGGATAGCGGATCAGTAGAAGTGGTATTAAAAACTTTCTACACCTGATCTTTAATTTATTTCTAAATGCATGTGTTTTTTGGGAAAGGGACATGGAATGCTTTATTGAGTTAATCTCTAACTGTCATGGTTCAAATTTAAGAAAAAAATACATATATATCGACCATTCTCTTGTTGATCAGATTTTAATCCAATCCTCTGTAACAATTATTATTTAAAGGTAAATTAAACTTCATCAGGACATAGAAAGCATGATGTAACTCATTCTACTAGTGAGGATATACATCTCAAACATAAGTTGGCCTTTTAGGAGAACTGAAACTAAGAGCAACTTTCTATTGTTAGAGTAAGCCAAATACAATGAGAAAAATGCTACTCTTTTCTTTCTACTTTCCTTTAATATATATATTTTTTGAAATTGAATTCAATTTTTACTTGCCATTTTATTACATGTAATAAAATATAAGTTTTAAATTAGAAATTGCAATTTAAACAAAGGGAATAATGCTTGCTAAAGGTGCAACATGATGGCGGTTATTAAATTAACCTAAGACTTTCTGACACCAGGTTAAACAACTCCAATTTATTTTGACTTTCTTCATGGACACGGATAATCACAAACTTGCAATCAAGCTGTGTTCTAAGGTGTTGACCTGGAAAGATACATATTTTCCTGTAGAAACTATGTTAAAAAAAAAAACAGCACTCAGGCACTCAGGAGACCCCACAAAATTCAATTTAATCAATAATGTGTTGAACTAATACTAATAGAAGCTCTGAGCTACCCAGAGAAAGCAAATGATAGGCTCTGTGCTAAGGTGAGGATGGGGAAAGGCTCCTGAATAAGACACTCTGGAGGTGTAGGCGGCAATGGCGAGTGGCATCAGTGGCAGACACGGGGCGGGGTGGGGGTCAGATGCTAAACATACATCTGACTATAATGGGCATTTAAAAGTTATGAACTCTAGCTGCACAATTTTAAAAATCCAATTACTTCTCCTGAGATTCTCTCCAATCGATTTTGAAGAACAAAGAAATGGAAAAGGGAAAGAATTTTTATGCGATTTTATTTCAATTTATTTTATGTGTAGTTAATGAGGAGATATGCTTGCTGCTAGAAAAGGGTGGAGATCTTTTATTATTGAGGACTGATCATATTTTGGGGGTTTAAAAGTATAGACAGGTCCACTTCACACCCACTGGGATGCTATAACCAGGAAGATAAGTAATAACAAATGCTGGCCAGGATGGAGAGAAACAACCCGCACACACTGCTGGTGGGAATGTAAAATTGTAGGAGCTGCGTAGAAACAATCTGGCTTTTCCCCGAAGGTAGATACAGAGTGACCATGTGACACAGCCAATTCAACTCCCAGTGATATGTATAAGAGAAATAAAAACATATGTTCACATAAAAACCTGTACACAAATGTTCACAGCAGCATTTATTCATAGTAAGAAAATAGAAAAACCCAGTGTCAACCAACTGACAAAATGTAGAATATCCATGCAATGTAACATTATTTACCACACAAAAGAATAAAGCTCTGATACATGTTACAACATAGGTGAATTCTGAAAACATTATTCTATGTGAAAAAAAACCCCAAAAGCCACATATTAAATGGTTACATTTATATGAAATATCCAGATTAGGCAAATTCATACAGACAAAAGTAGATTGGAAATTGCAGTGGGGTAGTGAAGTGTATCAGGAGTGAGTGCTAACTGGAATGAGGTTTCTCACTGGGGTGATGAAATGTTTTAAAATTGACTGTGAATATACTAAAAACCACTGACTTGTATACTTTATTAAAATGTACAAGTTATATGACACGTGAATTATATCTTAATATGCATCTTAATAAAACTGTTTTTTAAAAAAGCACAGAAAGAATCCCAGACTTTCAAGGTTTTCAACTGATGCCCTGAGAACCTTGTGAAAATGAAGGTTAAGACAGGATGACTTAAATTCAAAAGATCTATGAAGTTATAGGAAAAGAATATAATAGTTTTGGTTATAAAACATCATTGAACTAAAAATGAAAGGCCATCATGCCAAAAACAAAGAACAAAATAAAAATATCAAAGTGAAAATGTAATTTTCCAAAAGTTTAGAGATGTAAACAATCTGCCTCTTATCCTGATTTTACTGCACAGAATATAATCAGTCCAAGTTCAACATTTAACTAAGTGGATGACCTTGTGTCTCTCCAATACCACTCTTGTCATAGTTTTTTTTTTTTTTTTTTTTTTTTAATACACTCTTCCCTCAGTATACATGGGGGGAAGAGTGGTTCCAGGACCACAACACCCATCCCTCACCTAAACCTATGCATACTCACGTCCCACAGTGGGCCCTGAGGAACCTGCATATAGGAAAAGTTGGTTTTATATATATACAGGTTTTATATCCTGTGAATAGGGTATTTTTGATTTGCCTCTGATTGAAAAAAAATCTGTGTACAAGTGGACCCATGCAACTGTAATCTCAAATTTACAGAAAGTTATAAAAATAAAAACAGTACAATGAACACTGTATATTCTCTATCTGGATTTACCGATGGTTACAGTTAATCCCATGTGCTTTATCATTTGTATTCTCTCTCCTTCTGTCACATACAGAAATGTGCATAATTTGTTTTCTGAATTATACGTATATTAAGGCCCTTTACCCCTAAATATTTGTTTATTTCCTAATAAGGTTATTCTCTTACAAAACCACAGTTATGTTATCAACTTCATAGACTTACAGTGATACAGTACTTTTATGTGAAAACAACCATGTCTCCAAAGAGTTCTAGTTCCCTTTAGTGGAAAATAGAATTAGAGACCAACATTTGGGCTTTCTGAATAGAATTAGAGACTAACATTTTGGTTGCTCATTGCTGTTGACCCCTGCAATAAGTTTTGATTAAATCAGTATTCAAATAGATGATCCTTCCAATACAATGGACTCTCAGTTCCTTGTCCTCTTCTCCTTCATTGAGTGATCTTATTCTCTATTCCAACTCATTTATCTTCTTGCATAGTTACACTCTCTAATCTTGCCATTGTAATGACTGAACTCCCTCTCCAATCTGATTTCAAGTATACTCTTAGCTGCCATTTCAAATCTTTCCCTTTGATTTTTCTTTTTTTAATTTTAATTTTTGAGAGTACACAGTAGGTATATATATTTATGTTTCTCTTTCTTTTTTCTTTAAGATAGACTCTCTCTGTCACTCAAACTGGAGGACAGTGGCATGATCTCAGCTTACAGCAACCTTCGCCCTACTGGGTTCAAGCGATTCTCATGCCTCAGCCTCCTGAGTAACTGGGATTAAAGGCATGTGCCACCATGCCTGGCTAATTTTTGTATTTTTAGTAGAGATGAGTTTTTGCCATGTTAGCTAGGTTAGTCTCGAACTCCTGGCCTCAAGTGATCTACCTGCCTCATACTCCCAACATGCTGGGATTACAGGCATGAGCCATCACACTGACTGTCCCTTTGATTCTAATTCCAATACTTCAGTAACCTCTTAAGACCTCCCAAATGTACCACCTGATCATTCTATCTCACAGGTGTCCTTGACACCCATTTCTTCTTTCCTTTCTGATTACATTATGTGATTCATAATCAATTTCAGCAGTGATGACATCTTTTCAGCAGTGACTGGTATCCTGAGAGAAGATGGGATCCAGTGCACCTGTTGAGATACTACTTTAAAATGGTCCCTGGAGAGTTAGTTTTCAGAGAGTCGGGGGGCAAGGTATTAAGAATACATATATTAATGGTCACTTAGGAAAACTCTAGTCCTGGGTGAAACCAAGTCAATGCTTGAATGTGAGAAGCTGAATGAGCTTCTCACTGGTTGGACTTTAAATCTATGACCACTAAACCAAGGTAGGTTGTTGGTGTTGCCTGTCAATACTGTTAAGTATCCCATTCATGCTCCTAAGCCCCTAGGAGACTGTTCCTCACCTTCTCCTCATTTCTCTACTCTCCAACGCCTCCTCCTCTCCTCCTCATACTCAGCTGATGACTTTGCTATATACTTTCCTGAAAAAATAGAAGCAATCAGAAAACTCCTGTTCCCAGAATGTCTGCCGTCCCTACCACTTGCTAGCCAAGTGACTTGTACCTTCAATTCATCTGTAACATGGAATAATACAGTTTATACCAAAGTATGGTATGTAAACAGTAAAAAGCCTGAAAAATAATAATACCATATATTTCTATCTCCAGACAATTCTATGTCTTATTCTTATTTTTTTTTTCACTTATTCATTGCTTGGTTCCTTCCCCCAACCTCTAGTCTAACTCAGAGCTGGCTAGGGACCAAGAGAACCGATTAGCATTTAGGAATGAGAACCAAATGCCAGTGAAGCTGCCTGGAGTT